GGTATATCTTTGAGAGACGTTTTGAAGGCAGAATCATCTGGACTGGTGATGAAGTGGATGTGAGGGTGAGACAGCAAGAGAAGTCAAGGATGCTGCCAGGTTTTTGGCTTGAGCAGCAGGGTAGATGGTGGTCCCACCCAGTGAAAAAGGGAAGACCCAAGGAAGAACAGGTTTAGGAAAACTCAAGACTCTCCACTCAGGAATGATGAGTGTGGGTGCCTATGTCCCCTCCAGGTGGATATGTTTAGGAGGCAATTGCCCACATGGGCCTGAAGCTCAGAATCAAGGTCTGGGCTAGAAATAGAAATTTGTGAATCACTGACAATGTGTGATAATTAAAATCGATGACCGGTTGAGAGAGAGAGAGTGGGGGTCGGAGGGGGAGGCCCTAGGTTTGTGCCCTAAAGAACTCCAATGTTCATTCATTCAGCAAACATTTCTTGAATCTCTTTATATGAGGCCCGTGTAGGGTCTGGGGTTACAATGAGAAAAAAGGCACAGTCCCAAGTCCTTGATGAGCTCAGTCTAGCAGAGTGGGAGTTGATCCAGATTTTGTGGGGCCTGACACTCTTTATGAAAAAGAATATAAAACTATTGGTACAAAAATCAAATACAAGGTCTTGGAAAGTGTTTATGTAGGGGAGACATGGGCCTTGGAAATTAAGCTTCACCGGCTCCATGGTAAATCCTCCTCAGTGGGGAAGACAGATAAATGAAATTGATGTGTAATGGTGTAGGAAAGCGCTAAGGGATTTAGTACTGCAGAGAGTGGACATCTCAGCAGACCAGAGAGTCAGGGAAGGCTTCCTCTGGGAGGCGATGTTTAGCAGAATCTTGAAGGACAAGCAGGGGGTGGCTGACTGAAGAAGGGGTAAGAATTCTCCTGGGCTTGTGGAGAGGCCAAGGGAATGAGACACCATGAGATCATAGCTGCACTGTCCAGTATGGTGACCACTACCTACATGGAGCTACTCAACTCTTGAAATGGGGATAATCTGAACTGAGATATGCTGTAAGTATAAAATATACACTGGGTTTCAAAGGCTTCGTATGGAAAAAAAAAGGGCAAAATAGCTCATTGATATTTTTATATTAATTATATGTTGAATTATAATATTTTTAGTATATTGGGTTAAAGTATATTATTCAAACTAATTTCACGTGTTTCTTTTACGTTAGAAAATGTGGCTACTAAAATAGTTAAAATTATGTGTGTGACTTGCATCCTATTTCTCTTGGACAGTGCTGGACTGAGGTACGAGGAGGCTGATAGGTGCTCAGCTAAGGAGTCTGGACTCCCTTGTGAGGATAGTAAGCCCCTAGGGTGTGGGGGAGGGACATGATTTGTGCTTTGTTTAGAAAATCACTCTGGCTGAGGGATGGAGAATGAACTAGAAGAGGAATAATCAGGAGTCAGGGGGGTTTTGCAGGACTGTAGGCGGGAGAATGGAGAGATGAGGTGAAATTTGAGGACTTTTAGAAACTAGGTCTGGGGCGCCTGGGTGGCTCAGTCATTGGGCGTCTGCCTTCGGCTCGGGTCATGATCCTGGGGTCCTGGGATCGAGCCCCGCGTCAGGCTCCCTGCTCGGGGGAACCTGCTTCTGCCTCCCTCTCCCACTCCCCCTGCTTGTGTTCCTGCTGTCATTGTCTCTCTCTCTCTGTATAATAAATAAATAAAAATCTAAAAAAAGAAAGAAAGAAAGAAACTAGGTCTGACAGCTAATTGGATGTGGGCTGTGAAGGAGAGGGAGGAATTCAGGTAGACTTCTGGGTTTCCAGCTTAGGCGAATGAGTGGATCAGAGTGCAAGACTGTACTCAGGAAAGGGCTAGTGTGAAGAGTCCCCTGCTAGAGTATAACCTGGGTGAAGGCAGGACTCAGACCAGGGATTCAGTAAATATTTGTTAAATGAATGTTAAAAAAAATCACACACTAAAATGTGTGGTTCAGGAAATGTGTCATGGATGGTCTAGAAGGGGAGAGGTCAGTGATTAACTGCTACATCAATGGGAGATAGAACCTGGAAGTCAGGAGGAGGAGCCCCCTGAGGGACTGCCATATTTGCCATCACAGGTTCCCATGAACGGCTACAAGGGATCCCACTGCTCAACCTCAGCAAGATACATCACAGGTGCTGGGGGCTTTGGCTGGCAGGAAGACATCCTCTTTGGTTTCCTCAGCCCCTTTGCTAATTTTCATGTGGAGAAGGAGAAGGTGGGGTGATGAGGCTGAAGAAAGAGGAGGGGCAATGGATTGGGGTCAGAGGTGGCTGTGAAATGTGTTTGTATTAAGGGCATATTCTGAAAGCACTTACTTGCTGGGACTGCTACCCATAATAGACCCATCATCCACATCTAAATGGAGATGAACATTCATGTCCATTTACCTAAAATGTCAATAATTTGAAACAGAGCCACTAGGGAATAGAGATTTTACCTCATTACCTTATTTATGCTTGGGACAAGAAATGTGAGTTAGTAAACAACGACAACAGCAACATCTAATGGGGGTCAGGAGACCAGAGTTCTGACGAGTGTGGGCAAGTGGCACACGCTTTCTGCATCTGTTTTCTCATCTATCCAAGAGCAGTAACAATACTACTAACCTCGTCTGCTTCATGGAGTTAGTAGTCTTGGATGAGAAACCGAATGTGAAGGGCTTCAGAAAATTAGAAGTACATGCTGAACTCAGAAGATACTGATGGGTGCAAAGAATGATGAACTCACAGAGAAATATTTTGGCTTGAGTACATCTGATAGCAGAAAAATCATTGGGCATGTGCATCGTGGGGCAAAAGTCAATCTCTCCTGCCCCTCTGTGGACAGAACTAGCTACCCCAAAGGGCAGCCTGGCTCCTCACAGTTTTTTGCCTCCAGAAACTCAATGGGTGAAGGTTGGACATGATAAACGTAAGATGGCTGGACCAGCAGGGATTGGTGCCATAGCCTCCAGTATACCAGTAAACTTACCCGTGTGTCATGAAAGAGTCGGGGGATTTGTTCAGAAAAACAGCAGTGTTCCCTTCATATGCAGATGGGTTATTTCTGCTCTATTTCATTCATTTGCATATTCATTGGTTCATACATCTGTTTATTTAATTCATTCAGCAATCTGCGTCCAGCATTCAAACCTCCCCCAACCTTCAAAGCTTACTCAAATTCTACCTACTTCAGGAAGCCTTCTTGTCTCTCCCACCACTACACCCTCATCTACGCTTCTCATTTCTTGAACCACGTTCTGCTTTGTCAGCATTGGTTCCAGTTCCTTTCTGGACATAGAACCCGTGTCCGCAACATCTCTGTATCCTGACAGCACTAGCACACTGACCTATAAACGGCAGGTGCTTGGGGAAGTAAGAACTGAATGAATGAACAAATTGGGTGGATGGGAGGATGAGGAGCCCTGTCTCAGGCACTATTTTTCTTTATTTTCTGAGTTGAAACAGAGACAGAGTATAGAACGTCCAGTTCTAGTTCTGGCCATAGAGGCCAGAGTGGGGAGGTGAAGACAGTTTTGGGGGGCAACTATTGGTGACCATGTTGCCTGAAGATAGCACTAGAAGCTACTTAGGAATAGCTACTCGTTCAGCTCGCCTTTAGTGAGCACCTACTATGTACAAGAAATGTGCTGCAGGTTAAGGGAACAGAGATGACTGTATCGAAAGTTCAAAAAAAAATCGCGTCTAGCTGGGTAGACAACTGACATAGGTCAAAAGTTAAAAAATGATTCTTTTAAAAGTTCAAATGGCACTATAAAGCAGTAAACGCAAGGTTGAAGGCTAGTGGTCCAGACAATAAGTACTGTGGGTTTAATGATTCTTCATCTTAGATTTTTCTAGGGCTGTCTCATTTCCCAGCTGGCTGCCCTGCAGCTTTCCCCAGGACCTGAGTGCTTACTCGATCATAGAGCCAAGTTTTGGTAACAAAAAAATGTGCTCACTGTTGTTACACAGCTTTTGAGGAGAGAGGTATCATAGAGAGCTGGAGTGAGGGTGTGGGAGTAGAAGGGGTCATTCAGGAAAGCTTTATAGAAGAATTCACCCTGAATTTTCTGAAAAATTGGTAGACATAGAGGAATGGAGAAGGCATTTTAAGCCGAGGGAAGAGTCGTGAACAAGGGTCCAGCAGTTGGAATGGATTGGGGACAGTCAGAGGACAGTTCATTCATGCCTCATTCAACAAATGTTTATTGAATCTTGTGAAGTGCCCAGGAGTGTTTTTGTGCTGGACACACAGTGGCAAATGAAGTAGGCAATCTGCCTTCAAGATGCTAGGGGGCAGTTAATTTATGGGTATGTTTGTTAACAATGTTAGCAATGTTTGTTAACACACAAATGAATTGAGGAAAGCGCTATGGAGGAAAAGAACAGGAATCTATAAAAGAGAATGAGACAACACCTTAGCTCCCCAGAGGAAGGTGACGTGTAAATGGACACCTGAAATATGGGGAGTGAGGGAAGGAGGGTGCCAAGCGTGAGAGGAGGGGCCCCAGGATGAGGGTTTCACAGGGGGTAAAGAGGATGGTGCCTTTGAGGGACTGAAAGACGGGTTCCTGGACTGTAGACAGTGGACACGTTTGACTGGGCCTATGGTGTGTAGAGGGAAGCCAGACCGTGAAAGGCCAGGCTGGGGTTTGGACGTGGTAAAACATCTTCTGAGAGCAGGTTATCTTTTTTTTTTTTCCAAGATTTTATTTATTTGTTCGACAGAGACAGACGCGGCGAGAGCGGGAGCACAAGCAGGGGGAGTGGGAGAGGGAGAAGCAGGCTTCCCGCCGAGCAGGGAGCCCGATGTGATGCGGGGCTTGATCCCAGAACCCTGGGACCAGGACCTGAGCCGGAGGCAGCCGCTTAACTGACTGAGCCACCCCGGCGCCCGAGAGCAGGTTATCTTTGGGTGTGTTTCTGTGTTCCCACCTGAGGGTTCCCCGGAGAGAGAGGGAGGTAGAGAGGGAGAATAAGGGTCTCTCCAAACATCCTGTGATTCCTGTCCCTGTTTGCAGCCAGGCAATGGAGCGGCTGCGGTGGATGAGCTACAGGAAAACGAGAAGCTAAAGGTGGGTGCCATGTGGAGTCGGCTCAGCAGGGACACTGCGGGGTCTCGGAGGACAGCCATAGCCCTGAGGCACTGTGGCCTTGATGTTGGGGATCCTGGGCCGGGTTCAGGCTTGGGAAGCTCCTGGGAGTGCTCCCAGGATGAGCCAGTGAAGGAGCCAGCTCCTTTGCCAGAGGGACTGTTGCCTCCAAGGTGGCCTTGGAAGAGGTGCTTCTTTGGGAGCTAACTCCAGGATGCCACTGCTTGCTCTGCCACTAACTTGCTATGTGAGCTTTCGCATCTGTAAAATGACTGTGGAGTAGCCGAATTCAAGCCTCGACTTTTAGAATTGATCTAAAAGCCTAATTACCTGTGGCTTTGGAATGCTTCAGAAATAAGAGAAGCATAGCAGGGGCACTGGGAGTAGGGGGGACTGAGGTTTCTGAAAAACTGTATCTTAGCTGCCTTTTGCCGGTGGGATATTTGGGAAGAACTATGGGAACCTTAGGAGAGGCTGGGGCCTGAACGACATCTTCCTCATCCAAAGAAAACCCCTAGGCCTGTTGTGAAGTACTGTGTTACCACAGCCAACAGATGGCAGAAGAGTTCAGCTCCAGAGGGATGGGGGATGGGGGTTGGGGGAGGGAGGGAGGGACTGAGCCAGTGTTGGTCTGTCTTGGATGTTCCTTTTGTAAATCAGATGATATTTCTATGTGTGTCACATCTGGGTATCTGCACATATAGATGTGAGTATGTGTGTGCCTATGAAGGTCTCTTGAAGCATCTGTGGGTAGGAAAAAAAGGAAGGGAACTGGGAATCCAAAGTCCTGAGTGCTAGTTTTGAGTCTTTCATTTACCTTGGATAAGGTACCTAGCCCCGTTCAGTTTTCATTTCCTTTTCTGTAGAAGGGGATCACAGCCTTGCTTATCCGGGGCTGGGGCAATGATAAAGCATGATGACGCTTTGTGGGCCGTTAAGTGTGCCCATGCACAGTGGGTCTGTGTGTGTGGTGTGTGGGTGAGTGTGTGTTTCTGTGAGAGTGTATTTTCAGGGAAGGACAAACCCTAGTTAATGTGTCATGCTTCGTACACATTGTCTGCTCCCTGTTGAGACCTTGGGGGGATTATTCCGCATGTAGAATTAGCCAGTCATGGAAGAGTGGGGGAGGCTGAGAGAGAAAGCAGTGTAACACTGCTGATGGGGGTGAAAGGAGACGGGAGGCCAGGACGAGGCTCCTGTGCTTTGTTCTGACTTCCAAGGGAGGGGAGCAGGGTTGGTGAGGCCCTCGTGTGGCTCTTCCCCTGGCTTGGGCAGGGGCCCACTGAGGCCTGTGTGGCTCTCCCCTGCTCAGCTCCCAGCAGTGCTCCCTGCAATGCTGACCCGAGCGAGCAGCCCGGCCTCTCTGCACAACAGCATCATCCGCGGCCCCATCTACCAGCTCATGATCCACAGCCTGGACCCTCTGAGAGAAGGTAAGCAAGGCCTCCCCAGACCTGCGTGGTCTCCTGTCTACTCCTTCCCTCCTGCAGCTGGACAGAAACGGGGGCCTGCAAAACTAGGAGGCAGTGGGGAGGACGATGGCAGGGTGGGGAATCGGGAGCAGAGGAGAGTTGGGGTGTGGGGTCAAGAGTCTGGGAGACAGGGCAGAGAGAAGACACAGGACTCGACAGGAGCTAAGGTCCCTACGTATCCACATCCCATGACTTCCTTGTCTCCGGGTCCCCTCCTGTAAAAAGAGGTCACCTGTAGTTAACAAGGCCGTGAGTGCCGTGTGCCCTGCTCTGGTCTATGTTGGGGTTGCCCTCAGTGACTTCCCTACGAAACCCACCACCCACAAGTTGGCTCCAGTATCCCACAGCATCTCCAGCCAGGCAGTTTGGTGCAGGCTGACTGGCCAGGGCCACTGCTGGGGGTACCTCCTATAGGGCCCCACAGCCCAGAAGCTCTGAGTGGTACCTCCCTGTGCTCTGTGTTGAGCTCTGGAGTCCTACGAAAACTGCTAAACCCCTCTCCAGCCAGGAACCCCAAAGGAGCTGCCAGGACCACTTCTGGGTTGGTAGGGGGCCAAAGTGAAGTGGAGCCTGATGTCTAACTTGACGAGTGATGGGAGTAGCTGAGCTTCTCACCATCCGTCTTACCAAGTCCTGCCTTCTGGCCCCCTTCCCCAGAGGGCTGAGCTGAATATGACACGAGAGACTGACTCGTGAGCATCAGGAAGCACCCGGACTTACCTTTCTGGCTCAGGGACAAAACTTGGGGTGGGGTGGGGGGCTCAGAAATTTCCTCAGGCCCTGCAGATACAGTATTGGGTTGTTGGGTATTTAAAAGGGTATTGGACTGGGAAAAGCAGAGACAAAGACGAGATGATCAAGTCTTCCTCCGAAAATCCTCAGTTGAGCCTCGGCAGACATTGAGAGAGGAGGCCACCCCCAAGTATCGGTGCCCCTGGAGTTTTGAGAGTGGAGTTTGCAGCACCCAGCAGCCTGTGGGTGATCGGTGCTGGGGGCATGCCTGGCCTGGGGCATTGAAGGAAACTCCGTCCCTGGGTTGGCAAAGTCCAGAAGATAAAGATCTTCCCCTGAATGGGACCACAGGCCCCCCTGCCTGGGCCACTTCTGTGACCAGCAGCTGACCTACTTGTCCTAACAGGATTATGTGATGGCCGGGCCAGGCCCAGGTCAGAGGAGATTGATACTAAGTAGGAGATGATCCAGCTGCGCTGAGAGTAGAGAGGCCATGTGAGGAAATGAGCGCTGGGTGAGCCAGCGACAGTCCCAGTCCCAGGAGGACAAGCGGGTTTCGTACATCGTGGGCACATGTGGCAGCCATAGAAAGGACCCTGTGGCCAGTGCCTGCTGATACGCTCTGGGCTCTGAGATGAAGTCCTGCTCAGAGAGGCCAACTCTGATTCTACACCCCGAGGCCCCATCCAGGAGGCACTGGGACCTTGCTGAGCAGTGACAAAGGCCTTTGTTCCCAAGACTTTCCAGACACACGTTTGTGTTTCCATCTGCTGGTTCCAAATGGTTCTCCAGATGTTTCCACCCTTTCCAGGTGTTCTGGCTCTTTTCACAGAGTCTATGTGTGGTCTGAACTCGCCCCTGCCCTGTGAAAGGGCTTTTCTCCAGGACCCTATGCCTTTTATGGTGATTTCACTTGGATGTGTGTGTGTGCATGAGAGAGAGGAGAGGGGACCAGAAAGAGGCCCTGCAGCTGACCTGCTTTCCTCAGTGGTGTGGGAAGTGAGAAGTTAGGGTGTGCGAGGAGGGGTCCGAAGGAAACAGGGGGACTTGGTTTTCCTTGCCAGCCCCTCTGACCCAGAGTTAGCCGATGGTCTCAGTGCCAGCCCTGGAAGCCGCGGAACTCTCCTGTGATAACAGCAACTCTGTGTTGCTCCACAGAGGACTGCAATGCTCCATCCGTGCCAAGGGGGCACTGAAGTTGTGTGGATGAAGGAGGCAGTGGAGGGCCCGCTTCTGGACCTCTCGGCTCTGGGCCCTGACTCGGACCTGTGGGGCTGGCCCACCGGGACACTTTGAAGGGCCTCACCTGCCCAAGGGGTGGCTCTGCAGGATGGAGCCTCTTGCCAGAAGCGGCTGCAGCTGAACCAACTCTGAGAGTTTAGGAGACAGGCCGAAAGGAGGAAATTCCAGGCCTGTTTATATTTCTTGCCCATCCTGGACCCAGGCAGCGTTTGGTCCCCGCAGTTTTCTGCGTTGCACCTTCTCAGTCTGTCTGTGTCAGAAACCAGAGGATCTCCAGGGTCCCTTTTGACTCGAACCCTCTGGAGTGCTGGGCCCCTTCAGAGTTGCTTCCTGGGTGGGACAGCTGCTCTCAGGCACTCACTTCACCCTCGTTGTAGCGAATGCTTATGTAGTGCTTTCTAGGTGCCAGGCCCTGTTTTAAGCACATTCATGGATAAATTTATTTATTCCTTTAACAACCCTGTAAGATTTTACAGATGAAGAATCTGAGGTACAGAGAGGTTAAGGAATCAGTGGGCTAGGTCCTTGGCTAGCAAGTGGCCGCACTAGGATTCAAACCCGCTATTCTGGCTCCAGAATCCCAGCTAACCTAGCAAGACTTAATTGTACCAGTTAAAGCATTCTTATTTATTTTGTCTCATGGACCCCCACATCAGTGCTCTGTGCGTATCACGACGTTGCCTTTTTAGAGGGGGACACGAAGCCTTAGAGAGGGTATGCAGGCTTCCCAAGGTCACCCAGTGCTCACAGGGGAGAGCCAGCCTGGGCTCCAGAATACATTCCACACGGCCCACGTTGTTTTGTCACTTGTGCCATTGTCCTCACCCTCCGGGGCCACATGGCCTTGGGGAGGACCCTGATGGGCCCCTGCACCTTAGTCTCTGTGCCTCCACCTTGAATTACCACGTAAAGCACGTTTTGAAAGAGATTGCCCTCCTCATTTTTCTTGCTTCACTGTCAGAGCAGCTCTATTGTGTACACAGTGCTCTGTAGGCTTCTGGCAAAGTGTGTACACTTTGTGTACCTGCTTGGGCTCCAGGTACCTGGGGTCAGAAAGGGTGGGGCAGGGAGCTTGGTGGTCAGCTATTTCCCCTTTCTGGCCAGAGAAGGAGGTCTCACAAACACGGCCACGGGTAGTGCTCCTGGAGCTATACAGCAGAGCTTCTGGTAGATTCATAGAAAGTGAGCTGCTAAGGACCAAACAGATAATCTAATTCACGGATGGCAAAAATATCTCCCTGCCATTTTTTGTCCATTCCCTGCTCATTGCAGACATCACTGATCAGTCATGGCACCTCCTCCTACCAACCTTGGGTCAGAATCCTCCTCAATCTAGTGCTCCAACAGCCATCACTTGAACTCATGAAGGAAATAAATCCTATTTGTTGCCTCTGAGTCCAACCATGTCATTTTACCAGAAAGGAAATAGGTTTAGAGAGAGGAAGTGACTTGCCTAAGGTCACAACCAGTTAGTAATGATGCAGGGGATTTAAGGTGAAAGTTTGGGAAATGCGCAGCATGAACAAGCCTAGTAGGACCAGCATCCAGACCACAACTCCCAGGCCAGCCTCCTCCCACCCACTTCAGCTGTTCCAGCTGCTGTGCTGACCAGCCTAACTGCAGGGTCCCGGGTAAGATGTGTTCCCTTTCTCATTTGCAGCCCGCCCCTCCAAAGACACGGAGAGCTTGAGTCAGGAGGCCAAAGCCAAGCCTCACGCTAACGCAGAGAACAAACCAGAAGGTGAGAAGATGACGAGACCGCTGGGTTTCCTCCTGCCACCTTCCTCCCTCCTGTTGGCCAGGGGCTGGGGCCTGTTTCCTGGCCTCTCGGAGCCAGTGAGCTGGAGCGATGATCTGGTGCCACATGCCGGCCTCCTCCTTCCAGTGTCCTCCCTTTTTGCCGGGGTTGCTGGCCTGAGGGAGGCCCTGGACAGCTCCCTGCACACTCTGCTCTGATGGGGCAGGCTGGCCACCCCGGGGTGTGTGTGTGTGTGTGTGTGTGTGTGTGTGTGCTTGAAGTCCCTCTTCTTTTTTACTACATCTTGTCCCGGAGGAGACTCTATTGGCCTCTATTTCTTCTTCCTGTCACTTCTACACAAGGACAGTGCTGTTAGGGATTGGTCTGAGACCAGCAACCCCAGGAGGGAAGGACACCAGGGGTCCAGTGATACAGAAGTGCAGCATCCCTGTGGCAGCTGGGGTGGAGGGAGTGAGAGAGCTACTGGCCTGTGGGTGCTGCACAGCACACCAGGCCTGCCTAACACACTCAGCATCCCTTGGAGGGAGGGAGAGCAGTAGCCATTCTCCCCATTCTACAGACAGGGAAACCCCAGCTGAGAGGTCGAGTGACTTACCTAAAGCCGCAGAGCCAAGAAGTGAGAGAGCCTCTTCCTAAACCCGGCGTTCCGGGCTTTCCGAGTGTCCCTTCCCTGCAATACTATTTCAAGGCGTCCAAGCTGCTGTCTTTGAAGTCACCAGGACCCTTTCCATGGAGGTGGTGGGGGGAAGGGTCAGACCTTGAGGGCAGGGGCTTTGCTGTCTTCCTGGTCCCTGTTGCCCAAGCTGCTCATAGGATGAAATGCTTGGGAGTAGAGGGGGAGCAAGGATGGCCACTCCCAATTGTGCTCTTATCCGCAGCTGTCTCTGTGGACGGGGCAATAGCAGCTCATATCACAACACGTTACTTTTCCTTTCGACAAGAAATTCCCCAAACTTTCTGAGAAGCTGAGGTGGACAAGGGCGATGAGCCCCTCACACTAGCCTCTGGCAGCCGCCCTCGGAACCTGGCACACTTTTCTGACCTATTCCGTGTTTATCCCTTAAAGAGGAGGAGCCAGCCCAGCTTCCTGCGGTCACAGCCCCCCCAGCCCCCGCTCCAGATGTCAAGGGGGATCAGGAGAAGGAAGACCCCGGCCGTCAGGTAGGCACCAGCCTCTTCCTAGGTGGGGAAATTTAAGAGGCCCAGGGAGGGACTTGCTGGCCCCAAATCCTTCCTTCTTGAAGGTCTGAAATGCTGTTTGAGGTTCATTCCTCTGAGGTAAGCATGGCCCTTTCTGTGAAGATCACGTACCTCATGGGGCCAGTTAATTCACATTAACACCTCAGTATGAGTGACATACTATATATGTGTTGTCAACTGTCACATGCTGTAAAAACATAAGGAGTCACTCTCAGGGGGCGCCTGGGTGGCTCAGTCGTTAAGCGTCACGTTCCTGGAGTCCCGGGGTCAAGTCCCGCATCGGGCTCCCTGCTCAGCGGGGAGTCTGCTTCTCCCTCTGACCCTCCCCCCACTTGTGCTCTCTCTCCCTCTCAAACACATAAATAAAATCTTTTTTTTTTTTTTAAAGGAGTAACTGTCGGGGGGTCTGTCAGAAACTAGGGGGCAATAAGCCATGCAGCAGGGAGGGTTGCTGGATCCATGCCTTGGAACCCCTGAGGGTTGTCTACAGGGCTTCCGGAGTCCTGCCGCCGCTGTCTTAACGGCCACACAGCCTCTTCTTCCACCACGCTCCAGCCAAACTGGGCTCCTTGTCTCCATGTTTTTCTACCTCCAGGCCTTGGTTTCCTCCCCTTCAGGATTCCCTTTCCCCTCTGCCTTCATGCCCCTCTCACCCACCTCTCCAGGCCACTCTTCATGCCCCCGTGGCCATCGAGCTTCCCTGATCCCCCCACCCTCTCTATGATGAATGAATGCCCATTGTACTCAGTCCCTGTCTCAGGGCTCCTATCACTGCCTTCCCCATGCTCTATTTCGGAGTCTCCCTTGTTCTCCTACTAGGTGGTGAGGTTCCTGAGGGCAGGATGCACGTCTGAGCTGTCTGTCTCTCCCACAGAGATGCAATGCCCGCATGCACAACTGTGCTCAGTAAGGGTTGAGTAATGACAGTAAAGAAACATTTAGTTTACAAGTTCCATCCCTGTTTTTTTCTGCTTGACACAATTATATCTCATCCTTAAGCCAGCAACTTTGGGTTTAGTGTCTAAGACATCTTGATGGTGTCATGAATGTCCTGAGTAGCCCTACCATTACAGCCAGCTCAAGCGAAAGGGACTAAGAGGGTGCAGAGGTACCTCCTGGAATCCCAGGGCAAGATCAGTCTCACAAAGAACTGCACCTAGGCCTGAGCAGACATCTGTGACCCTAGTGGCTTCTCACTCTCTGTCTTGCTCTCCCTTAGGTCCCTTTCTCTGTGTGCAGGCTTTATCACCCAGCTTCGTCTGGCAGCCTGGCTTCCTTTGCTTTCTTATGGGCACACACAGCCCTAAACCCTGACAAGGGGCCTTCAGTCCACAGGGGGATCAACCAATGACTGGCTCCCAGTCTCAGGAGAGAGAGAATCTCTTCAAGCTAGGTCCCAGGTCAGGGATCCAGCCTGTGTCCAATCAGCTGTGGCAGGAAGTGGCGGGGTGCTTTGACTCCAACATGGAAAAAAAAAGAGCCACCCGTTCAGAGGGTGTTAGGTGTGACAGTTCTCAGAGAAAAGGGTGCAGGCTGGGCGGACACTCCCATACCTATGGATTTAAATGACTTGTCATCTCCTCCAGGAAGCCTTCTCTCCCGATGGGGTTGGGGGAGGGAGGGCAGGAATTATTTCAGACTAAAATCTGCTCATTGTTTCCAATTCAAAGCACAGGCCTCATGAATATTAATTATTGACTACTACATCGGGGGTTTACAACTCGGGTTGCATATAGAATAATTTGAGGAACTTTAATCAATGCCCAGACCTCACCCTCAACCAATTAAGTTAGAGTATCTGGGGTGGATCCTTGGGCATGAATATTTTTAAAGCCTCCAGGTGATTTTATTTTTTTTTTTAAAGATTTTATTTATTTATTTATTTATTTGAGAGAAAGAATGAGAGAGAGAGAGAGAGAGCACATGAGAGGGGAGAGGGTCAGAGGGAGAAGCAGACTCCCTGCCGAGCAGGGAGCCCGATGCGGGACTCGATCCCGGGACTCCAGGATCATGACCTGAGCCGAAGGCAGTGGCTTAACCAACTGAGCCACCCAGGCGCCCGCCTCCAGGTGATTTTAATATGCAGCGGAGTTGAGACTCACTGAGCATCCCTTGGAGGTTGCCTGTGTCATGAAATTTGTTATAGATGAGGACATACTCCATGGGCACACAGCCCAGGTCATTTGCTCAAGGGACTGGCCAGGCATGTTGTTATAGGATAGTTGGGTTCCTAATCTGTGGACACTCACAATCAGTGGCTTTTAGATTACATATGGAGTCAGTCCCTGGTGCCCAAACACTGGTCTGCAAGCAGATGTATTAGGACCCCTTGTGAGTACATTAGAATAGATTCCTGGCTTCTCATCACAGAGATTCTAATTCAGTTGGTCCAGGTGGGGCTCAGACATCTGTATTTCTTTGATTTTATTAATTTATTTTGCAAATTGTATTTCTACTAAGCTCCCCAAGCTACCCAGCTTTGAGAACCAAAGATCTCATTCAGTCTTGGCAATTGCAAAGCAGGGTAGGTTGGTGGTTAAGAGGCTGAGAGTTGGACTATCCATATTACAAGGCCCAATTTTATCGCTTACTAACTGTGTGAACAATGGGCAGGTTATTTAACTACTCTGTACCCTAGTTTCTCCATCTGTTAGATGGGCTTAATTCTGTCTATATCATAAATTAATTGACTCATGAGACACACTAAGTGCTACTATTATTTAAGCCACTTAGCATAGTGCCTGGCACATAGAAACCCCCAGAAAGTAGGTGTTATCATCATCATTTTATACATATAAGGTAATATGATAATTTAGGAGTTTTAGTAGACGCAGCAATGTAGCCACCAAAAGATGTGCCATATTAGGCAACATTAATGGAAGCAGGTATCTAAGAAAGGGAGGTGATAGTCCTATTCCACTCTGTGTGGTGTTCTGTGTTCAGTTTTTGAAGCTTCCTCGTGGGGTATAAACTTCACTAGAGTGAGTTCACCAACATGGGGAGGAGTCTCCAGGCCATAGCATGGAAAGATGGAAGGACCTGGGAATCTCTAACTCAGGGAGAAAAGCTGTTTTGTGGAAGAGTGATTAGCTTTGTTCTGTGTGGCTCCAAAGAGCCAACCTATACACAGGGTAGAACCTTGTTATAAATCTGGACTTTAATCAGAGTTGTCAAGATGCAGAAGCCACCTGAGGTGGTGAGTTTTCCATCCCTGAAAATGATCAAATAAAGACAGGACAACCACCAGGTGGGAATGTTGGGAAGGGAATTTTGCTGAATGACCGTACTAGTTTTCTCCTCATATTCAAGTTTTTAGATCCATTCTGAGAACAACAACAACAAAAATGGGGACGAACTGGGAAGGAAAACAAGCAGATCAGTTATTACACACTATCTGTTGCCTTTGGATTGCAGGAAGGAGATGTGGCTGGAGCTGAGAGCACGGGTGAAGTGATAGGTGAAGAGGCTGAAACTCCTGATAGAGGTGAAAACGGACAACAAGGTGGAGATGAAACTCAACTGGAAGGTGAAGGTGAAATTGAAGCAGAAGGAGAAGGAGGTGAACATGAAGGT